GCCGAAAGCCGGTGCCTCCCGTTACCGGATACGCCGGTGATCTTCTCATCCTCGGACTCCGCGGCAGATTCCAACGGCGGCAGCTACGAGGTGAAAGGAAACGCGTTGTCATTTTGTGGGAGCTTCACGTCAATGCTCAACAGCAACGCCGCCATGGCGGCTCATGGGCCAGATGGGCATTTTGGGTTCAGTGAGATTGGGCTTGGTCTGGGGCCGAGTTATGATGACGTGGCTTTCGGGCTTGGAAGAGCAGTCTGGCAGTTTTCCACAGCTATAGATAACGGTGGGCCCACTTTTCCAATGCCCGCCACGTGGCAGCTGGAGGGCCTGGAAGGCAGCACCGGATTCGTCGCCGGAGAGTATTTCACGTGGCCGGAACTTGCCATCTCAACGCCGGCGAAAACGCTCAAATGAAGCGATAATGTCACAGTTTCTGTGTCTGAGAGATTCGATAGTGTGTGTCTTGTCCGTTTAGGGTTTAGGTTATTACTAGCACAGCAACTACTTCCACTACTATCTCTGTAAGAACGTAGAAAATAGGAAACGTGCGCGTTTTGGCTCTAAGCTGCTACTTTACTTCTGTCTGTATCAGAGTCTTCGAACTCGTATTTTCGAATGCAAAGGATGATACTTTTTTTTTTACAATCAAAGTGCGGTCTTACCATCTTTGGCTATCTCCGTTGTCGTCCAGCAGTTAGGACTTGGGATATCTGGCTTTCACCCAGGAGACCCGGGTTCGATTCCCGGCAACGGAAATTTTAAAAACCAAAAAAAATATTTGGCTATCTCCGGTTGAATCTTTAAACCGACCAAGGTGTTGACTGGTGGAATCGCAATCGCGGTGATTGCGGGCGTTTACAATGCGTTTGCTGGTGATTCTAGGTGATTGGTACTGACTGGTAAAAAAACTGTTGTTGGTAGCGATTACGAGTGATTGCGATTTAGAACGATTGGTTGACAGCGATTGCGATTGCGATTGCGATTTGATTTAAATTACAAAAAAATACATCATTATATATAATACTAACCATTTTTAAAATATTTTTAATTAGTTTTTTACTATTATTTAATATTAAATAATTATTAAATTTATAAATAATTAATTATAAAATTGAAAATATTATTTTGTTATCAAATTTAATTTATTTTCAAAGATAATTTTAATATTAAAAATATTTATTAGTAAAACCAAACAATATCAAACATAATATATACCAAACAAAATTATTAATATATTTTTTTAATTTTGGTATGTATATATGTAGTAAGTATATAAATATATATATGTATGTATATATATATATATATATGTATGTGTGTATATATGTATGTATATATATGTGTGTATGTATGTATATATATATATATGTATGTGTGTGTATATGTATACATGTATGTATATATATGTGTATATATATGTATATATACGTATGTATATATTTATATATGTATATGTGTATATATGTATGCATGTATATATATGTATGTATGTGTGTATATATGTATGTATGTTTATGTGTATATAGATGTATGTATGTATATATGATTGTTTGTGTATATATATGTATGTGTATATATATGTATGTATATATGTATGCATATATGTATGTATGCATGTATGTATATGTATGTGTATATATATGTATGTATGTGTGTATATATGTATGTATATATGTATGTATGTATATGTTTATATATGTACATGTGTGTATATATGTATGTATATGTATATGTATATATATGTATGTATACGTGTATATAGATATATATATATATGTATATATGATTGTTTGTGTATATATATATATGTGTGTATGTATATATATATATATGTATTTATATATTTTATGTATATATACATATACGTAAGTTCTTTATATATATAATATGATATGTATGTATATATATACTAATTAATATTAGGAGTATTTTGGTCATTTAATCAAAACGTTATAAAACGTTATTATAACGTAATCTTTTAGCTGCGATTAGAATATTGATGTTTTGTTGCGATTGCGATTACGATTCCAACAATCACTTTTTCAATTACCCATAATCACCAGAAGTCGCAATCGCTGCGATTGCACGATTACGTTACCACCCGTCGTAAGCCAAGTTATTCTCAGATAAAACGCAGCGTTTAGGGCGCTCGTCATAAAACGCAGCGTTTCGTTGCCCGGCGACGGAACAACGGGGGAAAAAGAGAATTTCGACAAACTTCTCTCTTTTTCCCGGCGAGGGAGAAGAGTCGTCGGCGAAGAATGGCGACCAAATCGACGGCTTCGAGTCTCCGCGTCCTGTTCGATCATCGTCTCCGACGCTACACTGTTAGTGCTCTCAATTTCTTGTGGTCCGTTTCATCCCCCGTCTTTAAATGTCGGAAATCGATTAGAATGCGCAGACTTGCGTGTTCATGTGCTAAACTTGGGCATGAAACATGTAGGAAAACGAAGGGGTTTCGTTGTCGAAGGAGATGGAGAAGGATTTGCTTATTTCTCTATCTCAGGTTGAATTGAATGATATCAGTTTCTTTTTTGGTGTTCATCGAAACCCTTGTTCGGTTGCTGCATTTTGCATCGATTTACTGAAATCGAAGCTTCTCACTTCTGTAAAGCTTCTTCCTTGTTTTTTTTTCTCTCTGAGCCGTTCTTAACCTTATTCCAGGTGTTAAGGGAAATCCAGCGTTGGACTAGCGAAGCTGGCAGTGATTCAGCCATGGCGAGTTCATCGGTTACTATCAATTTCGGTTTATGAGATTCCATGGACACGTAGTGGTTGTTGATGCTATTTGATTGATTTCTTCTGCCGTTCAACAGGAAACAGGAGAACAGCTTGAGGACGATGAGGAATCTCCGGCTGCTCTTTCGATTTCTGAATTGGAGTATAGTTGTTTAGTGGATGTTGTTGCTGATTTTGTAAGTTACTCCTTAGTCACTCCCCATATAAATTCTCTACCTATCAATTCAGAATTATGAAACTTTGTCACAACAGACGTGAATGTATAGTTCTTCATTTCTAATTCTTGATAGGAACTTCAGAAACCTCGAAAGGTTGTACCTTTGATGTGTATGTTGTCCAATTAGCTTGATTCTTTAGCTCTGCTTTATCGGGTAGGTCGGATTGCTAGGCATGAAGAGTCCATATATTCAACATTTGTCGGTCAGTATTCTTGTGGAAGTATCGGAGTTTCTGGTTGAATGTGTGAGTTGCCTCTGCCTCATTCGATATTTTTGAATGTGTGTCTCTTGCAACATGTTCTATTACTCATTTCCTGTTCCTCTGTTTCTGCAGGGAAGACAATGGGATGTTTTCATTCGTACCCTTTGTGACTGTGTTCACTCAGTCTACAAATTTCAGTGTCCTGATTTAACCTCAGCGATTGATTTCAATTTATCCAATTCTCTTGATGTATTAAAACATAAGCTGAAGAATACTGACCGGTACATGGGCTTTGGCATTTTTCGAGTTCTTCGCAACATACTAAAGCGTTTGAACGGAGAAGAGAATTATGAACTTCTTGGTGTATTCTATAAATCTATCAGTTCTGTTCTTGCAAGCTTTCCTCATGGTCTACTGGATAAATTGCACGGCGATGGTGAAATCAATTCCCGTGCTCATGCTCAGCCTCTTGGAAACGTCACAGGCCATGATCAACAGCTGGTATTTCTCGGGGAGTTTGTTCAGTTCCTCTGTTCTCTGATACGGCAATGCAGCTTTCTTGAGGATTCTAGCAGCTCTGGGCCGACAAATTTGATTCTTCCCAAAATCATCGACCTTGTTCCAGATCTCCTGCAATGGTGCCATCCGGAGCTAGAAAATCAGATTGACACTTGCATGTCAAGATACCTAATGCACAAATTATTGGTACGTTCTTTTTTCTGTACGTCTCTGATCCGTTTTTCCGTAATGCTCTCACTGTGGATGCAGTTTTTGTTATCTCTGTCTTTTTGTAGGTATTGATGATCAGGCTCAGTTACCTGTCTGAGTTAAATTGCACTACTCTTCATTCATGGCTGCAATATCTGCATCTCCATTATCAAGGCTTTCTTCAACAACCTATAAGTAGACACGGACCTGTTCAAGATAATTGTTTGGATAGCTCTCCATTTCTGTCGAGTTTGTCGAATGGAGAGATTCGTAAGATATATTCCGACCATTTGCAGAGATTGGCTGTTTTCCTCTTCCTAAGGTGCTCCTTCACCTTGATAAGTTCAAGAAAACATTTTGATGATCGATGTGAGCGTGACTGTAGAAAGAAAGGGCTGAAAGAAATTCATGAATGGATTGAAGAACAAATTCCAGGTTATACTTTTTCCATCCAAGGCACTTGTTTTGAGAAAAATATGGATTTCTCTATATCCTTCATCCGGCTGTATATGCACGAGGTTTGCTCTTTTTAAACATCCGCCATTGCGTTTGTGGGTTTTCCTCCATTCGATTTATGACAATCAAGAGGCCTAAGATATGTTTTGTCTTTTGACTTAGGATGATCTTTTATTTAAAGTCCTACTGCAACTGCTGTCTGTACCATTGCATGGAGAGAAACTGTAAGAAGGAGATTTAAGATATGGTTATATAGCTCTGAGCTCTAGGGTTAAGTTTATTGTTATGATCCTACTCATGAACACTGCTTGCTCATAGGTTCAGTGAAGAAAAGATCTCGCTCCGAGATGAAGAACAAACTATTATCTTCAGCTTATCCATCCTGTTCAATCCTCTAAGCCTATTCTGCATATTTCTTTCAGAGGCAAGTGATAAACACTCCGATATTTGGAATCTTTTTGGGTTTTAATTCTTGTATAAGTTCAAGATTTGGTGATTTTATTGGCCATTGTTGCAATCCGTAATCGTGATCACTGCTCTGCTTTTCTTTTTCTTCTGCTTACAGCTGCACTATGATCATCAAGTCCTTCTTGATTACCTCATATCTAGAGACACTGGAACTAGTTGTGCAGAATATTTGTTAAGGTCACTCCTCTCTCTTTTTTCCCTTTCTGAGATATTTGTATATCAACTCTGGTCATGGTCAAAAATCTGACTTGCTGGTGGTCATGGTCTCATGGGTTACGACCATATAGCATGTGGCCTAATGTCTATATTTCTTTTGTGTATCGTGTGTGCAGTCACATTTGATATCTGCCATGATAACATTCTTTCTTGACCATGTTTACTTGCAGGTGCTTGCGTGTCGTCTGTAATTCATGGAACATTTTCCTGGAATACCGGTTAGCAGAGAAAAAAGCCACAGATGAATCTTCTTCAAAGAAGAGAAAAACTTTGCAAGAGAGTTCCAAGATTGAAGATGCAAAAGAATGACTGCTTTCCTTGAAGAGGTCAATTGAGAAACTGCACCAGAAGAAACTGTTTCCCTACAACCCACGAGCCCTTCTACAACGGTGAGCATTATTAAACTATAAATCCTTCCTTTTCTACGGTAAAGACTTGCACTTTTAGCTTTTTCTTTCTTGAATTTGGCCATAATACAAGTTTCTGAACTTTTTCTGTGGGCAGTTTGTCGAGGTTTCAAGAGCTCTGCCTTGGCCATGAATAAACGCCCCACACGGGTACATTGGTCAGCATACCCATAAGAACAGAACAGAATGTAAGATCTTGGACACAGCATATGACTGATCAGAAGAAGCAACAAATGAGCATATATTATATATATATACAGAAATCTGATGGGATAGATAGGTCTGACCCTGTTGCAGCATATATGTAAATGTAACCGACAGTAAGTGGACTTATTCCTGAGGAACTATGGGGCTGGATTTTAGCTGAGCATGGTCGGGTGGCCTGTTTGGAGCATCCTCTTTATCATATCCATCCCAAAGGCAGAATCCGACGAGCTGAAACACACGGTCGGATCAGAAACCAAACAGCAATGACTGTCTCAACCCGTAGGGTCACTCATCTTAGTCAACAAGGGTCAAAATTCAACTAAAGACAAAAACTTTAAGGTGGTCTTAAAACTAAGGTTTCACATGATCTATCCAAAAGACTGTGGTTGTAGATCCACCCATTAACAATAGAGGGCATTGAGTGGATCATTAACATAGTAGTGCAAGGTCTAGTTGTCAAGAGGAATATCGAGTATGAGGAACCAGGACAAAAGTAGAAAACCATTATGCATCTAAGAATGTAAGAAAGAAAACAGTACCTTGGGATAGTAATCTCAAATGGGAAGTAGAGCACACCATCAGTTATGGGAGGAACATGATCCTTTTTCTCGTTCACAAACTTTATGATTTGGAAAAGGACCTCTTGAACTGATGCCTCGAGCAATGTCCTACGAGCACCTCTCTCCTGGTCCGACGCCTCTGCAATCATTTTCCACAGCAGATGAGAAGAATCAAAATCACTTTCCTCTCGAGAAAGACGGTGCAAAATCTGCAGAAAATGGGGGGAAAAATCTAATTCCACCTTATTACCTCCTGGGTTTACAAGTACTTTAGAAAGATGGGGCTTTATGGTTTGGGATTTGGCAGGCTGAGTCACGTTTAGATTGATGTACCATTGCTCCCAGTAAAGCCGTTCGATTTTATTTGTGAACCAAGATGGCTGTTTGCTTTTAACTTCATAAAATGATAAACATATCTGTGATGATTGTAAAAAAAACAAAGAGAAGAAGCATAAATAACAATGGAGGATGGGTAAGAGAAGGTCAGGGAACAAAATGTGACAGGCAGGCTACTAGCTCTATACTATTTTCCATTGAACCACAAGCATGATCTGATGAAATATGCAAAAAGCTTAAAGACTGGTGCTTGAGTTATGCAAAAATCTGGTTACCTTTTTCAGTCCGAAAACCATTATCATATTTGTCAGATGCATATATAAGCCGGTTTTCAGACATGTGCGAAAAACGTACCTGGCTTTTCTTGTTTGGGTGCTTATCAACCCAACTTATGAATTGGTCTATTTTCTCGTCGATTTTCTTTTCCACTTCCTTCTCACCGCATTGTACCTGCGACACATGGGGGGACAGAACATATGATTAACATGAAGTCATAACTAACCCCCGGAACTTGAAATGAAAGTACCAAAATAACTCGTAAAGATAAGAACAGAAGTAACCCTTTCCTGACATAACAAAGCAAAAAAGAGAGGAGAAGGAGAAAAAAATTATACTGTCTTACATAAGTGATATCAAAAAGCTCAAGATCAATATCCTTAGGCCGAATAAGACCAAGCGCCCGATGAAAGACAATTGTATGTAGAATGCCTGCAGCCAAATCGACACCATAGAACACTGATCAAACCACCGCAAGAAAGCTAGCACTCTAAACTTTTAATTAAGAAAATATTAGCAATGAAATACATTTAATCGTCAATGAAACCGTCCAAGATCTACAGATTACAGTTTGAGATTCGGTTATGGGTCCAAATTTTTAGTATTGTGAAGCATATGCATACAGAGAGAGATGCAAGAACTGAAACAAATACATTGCAGTGTGGATTACACAAGAAGATCCAATGTCAAATAGGATGCAACTCCATATTTACTAGGCATTGTCTTCTACGAGATTAAGTTAGCTTTATCGTATCCCCTGATCCATAAGATCAAACTCCATATCATTCAGCCATAAAGACGACCGCTTCAATTCCAATTAATCACACAGTTTCATGGATTTTCTTCAAGTTATTCACTTTTCACTTTGAGACATGAATCAAACGCAGTTTGAGAGCACAAAAAGAACATAGGAAAAAAACAAACCTAACTAAATAAACCAAAACACAAAACTAGAGACAGAAGCGTTCAGCTGTCGGAAACTTACAGCGAAGAACCTCACGTATCTCAAAGTGTTCGACTTCCTGCGAAAATATCAAACACCGATGGAAAACCTTAACGAATCGAACCCAACCCGAAAAAAAAAGGGAAGAGACAGGCAACAACGTAGCCGAGTCCCAGACAAAAGCACGAGTCGATAACTAAGATCGGACTGCTGGATCAGACAAGAATAAAGACCGGTACCAGTTCCCTCAGCTGACAAACTTCGCAATTCATAGTCACCGCAGCAAAAATTCGGGAATTGCAGGATCGGAGACGGTGATTTATGTTCTTTGAGACTTGGAAGAAACTGAAACAAAACTCCTCGGCGATTTGGTTTTGGGAGACTTGGGGCACTTGTCTTTACGGTAATCTCTTGCTGTCAAGGATCTTAATAAAAGCCCATTGTGTAAGCCCAATTATTTGGCCCATGTGATTTTGAAAAAAAATTCCGTTGCCGGGAATCGAACCCGGGTCTCCTGGGTGAAAGCCAGATATCCTAACCGCTGGACGACAACGGATGTGTTACCTAATTGTTTAAGAAATGTAATCTGTAATGAATCAATATTTAAATATTGAATTAACAAAAATCTCATCATATATATTACTAACGATCGTCAAATGAATATATATACACACACACATAGGAGGGTTTATGCTTTTCTGTCTGCTTATTGGCAATAGTAACCAAGCCTCGCATATTAATTTTCCAATGTTAAATCACACTTGACTGAATGTATAAATGTATAGGCCAGTCCTGGTGTTTTCGAACCTTGGATGACATATAGTTTTTGGAAGTGTTGATTTATCATATTATTATTATTATTATTATTATTATGATCGTAGAACAGCATTCGCTATGTATACGTACCCATTTAAAACAGTAACAATATGGTACGTACACTGGGAGATGTATTTATTATTTGATGAAATCAGTGAATTGGGTTTATGGGTAAGTGCGCAATTAATGGCTCAATGTTTTATTTTAATGACCGGTGGTCATCAATTTCATCACCTTCATTATTGCTAAGCATCAACCTGGTGGTCTAAGATTATATATATATATATATATATATATATATAATTGTGTAACGCACATGCGAACTGACCCAATAAACCATACATATATAATTAGCAAAAAGCCAGTTGCTCATTTATGAGCACTTACAATTAATGTTATAATTTATTGCAACTTCCGATGATAATTAAGTAAAATGCATCCGTAAGATTTTTAAACCAATGTAACTTCTGCATCATCAGACGAAGTTATGATCAAAGTACTTTTGGTTTGAAGACAGTTAATGCTACTAAAACATTGTCTTAGATACATACATACATATATAGTGGAGATAGTGAAATAGTAACATGTGCATGTTAGGACTCATTAGTTAACAAGTGGAAAATATCAATCATTCAAAGGCCAAATAAATTCATCACTGGTCAACAAATCCTGTTTAATAAATGACCCAACATTACCTTCATCCCAAAGCATTCCACACCCTTCCATAACTTTATCTAATTATACTATATATTATATATACAATATACATTTATAGAAGGATGTTTTATATAATTAAGTTGCACGAAAATATTATTAAGCAATCTAGTAAAAGCTACAAAAAGGGTTTCAGAATTAGAAAGCAAGAAGAACAAAGGGAGGGCTCCCCAACTTATGATTTACATGGCTGCGCATATGCAAAAAGAAAAAAGAAAAAAAAAGGAAAAGAAACCCTAAAAGAGGTAAAGAGAGAAGTGAAGAAGTGTATACCGTAGTATGGCATTGGAACCGGCGGGGGCGAGATCTTCAAGGAGAGGCATAGGGAATCAACCAAACAACGCTGACTTTTGTTTCTGCATAAACATATTCCTCTCTCGCCGTTTCCGAATCTCGTCGTTCGCTTGAGCAAAGTCAGAGATTTCAACTGCAAGAAAAGTCGAGGAGGAAAATAATAATAAGAAAAGCGATGGATCCAATGAACAAAACGTCTACTCGTATGGCTCAGATTTCGAGGCTTAATGCACGAGCGAGGTCCTTGTCAGTGGAAAAGGAAAAAGTCAAGGGGGGTTGACACTGTCTTTCCGAGAAAAAAAGTGTGTGAGATTTTCAGACAGAGAAAGGCAAAAGTAAATCTTGGACCTTAGGGTTTTGAGTTGAGATTGAGCCACACACGTTATCGATTTGGTTTCACATTTTCACCTTTATTAGGTGGAACAAGTCAATCCACTGTTTTTCCTTTACATATAAACATATAAAACTTACCATAATCACAACTCACAAGTCGAAATCAAGATTTTGGTGGCATGACCCAAACCACGAATTTGAGGGAGAATGAAAACCCTTTTTTAGATTAATCAGCTAACAAAAGGAATTTCAAAAGAAGAGAAAAGAGTTGGGGGAAAAGAAATGGCAAGACTTCCTAAAAACAATGATTCTATGACAAGGCTTCCATTTGCAACAGTAACCATTGGTGAAAAGACAGCATAATTAAACCCCGTCATCAGCAGCAACAGAAGGTTGCATTAAATGCAAAAAGCGCATACACAACCTCCTACCATCTATACAATCCCCACACTGTTGAGGGAACAATCAAAACGCAGATCATGAAAACCCCATGCACGAATGGATGACTGAGATTTAGGAAAGATCGGATTTTGACGTACCTTGCAAAATGGAATTGTAGGGCAAGCGAGTGGGGGAGAAAGGCCGCGACTTTCTTCCTTTATATTGAAAACTCTTGTCAACAAGATGGAGCGATAGCACCGATTCCCTCCTCGCTCTCTGACTTTGGCTGCGTCTGCGTTTCAATCGCTTGTTGTCGCGGCTGAGCAGACTGCGTCTGTGTGAAAAGCTGAGACTCGTGTTGGTGGTGTAACTGTTCTGATTGATGGGTCTGATAATTGGGTGGACCGTCGAAGCTGCCGAGAGCCAACGATGGCGACAACACCGTGGCACCAGAGCTCGTCTGGTTAAACCCGGTTACCGTGACCGAACCGGACGCTGAATCAAACCCACTATTCAACCTCACAATCTCAACCTGAGCCTGGTTTTGCTGATTCTGGTTATAGTCGAAACCGCCGCCGTATGTTCTAAACAACTCCGGCTGCTGCGCTTCTCTTACCAACATTGCGGCTGCTAACTGCTGAGCCTCGAAAATCTGCTGTTGCTGCTGCTGATTTTGGTGGTGATGAGGGTCACGCAGAAACAACTGCCCATGTGGCTGTGCGGTCGGAATAGCCATCATAGGCACCATATTGTGATGTTGAGCCGCCATTACAGCTGAAGAGGACGACGGGTTTCCGAGGGCAAGTTGATGCAGTGGCTGAGGCGCCGCCATGAAAGGTGGTGAAGGCTGTAGAATCGGAAGCATAGCTTGAGGACCAATGTAACTAGCGAGCTCCTTCCTGGCGTCCTCCAGATCGTGCTGAAGCTGTTTCAGGCGGTGCTGGAGGATAGAGATGAGGCCGACGCAGCCATAGACCGGATCACGGAGTCTGGCCTCGGCCTCGTAGAAGAGGGAGTTGACGGCGTCTTCCCTCTGGTTAGAGCTGAGCTCGTTTAGAAGCTTTGCCACATTGCTTGCCCCGAAAACTTTGTGGACGTAGGCGAATTTCCTGCGTACATTTTCTTCTGAGGAACTTGCATGCCGCGCAGGGAGAGCTTGACGACGACATTATTATCTCCCAATCTCTCGCTATAAGGCTGAAACATAGAGCCAAGATGGGGAAACAAAACCGATGTAATAAGAAATTCAGTAACCAAGATTTATAAAAATATGGATACAAATGTTGTGTTTGTTTTATCCGTCATTGGAAAGTGAGGAAATAGGGATCGTGGAAATAAATGCACCGAGGAAGCTTCGCGTCACCGATTTTTGAGACCACGGTCGGTGAGACGTTAGAGAGAGAGAGGGGCTATGAAATAGTGAATCCTGATCAAACGAAACAACTTTCGCAAAAAAGGGTACGACCAGATACAGCAAAAACTAGAAAGGAAACTGATTTGTTCAATCACGATGCTAAAAACTTGCAGAGGAAAACGAGCTCATGGCTAGGGTTTTGGATTCGAGGAAGTTAATAGTACGAGAATCGAAGGGAAGCTGTTACTAACCAGAACTGAGGAAACGCGAAGAGGGTCTTCAAAATCTTCTCTTTTCAGATCTGTTTGGGAGGCGAGAAAATAGAAAACCCCAAGTTACGATGACCAGAAAATGTGTCGCCATGAGAATCGCCAGATATCTTCAAATGATATTCAAATAAAAAATAAAAGAAAATGTTTCCATATCGGTCGATAAACTGAATCAAATCACACACCGCGGTTTCAGAAAGAAACTCAAAACTAAATGGAAAATCAATCTCACTTACGCGATCAGAATCTAACCTTTCCAAATTCCAACACGCTCTCTCTCTCTCTTCGTGGAAGAACTCGTTCCTTATCGCCGTCTCTCTCTCATGTCTGATACCAACTGCGGAGAGAGAGAGACGCGAGCGTATATGTTCCGGCGAACTTGTCAGGTGATCGGAAGAAGTACAAACAGAGACGATGAAAGAGAGAATTCTCCGTTTAAGGGTTTCGAGACCAAACCCTGAGTTTGATCGGATCTGTCATCCCCGGAAGCCGACAGAGAAAAGGAAGAGAAGTTAGAGAAAGACGAGAAGGAAAGCCTTTCGAATGACGGCACAAACTTCTTAATATTACGAATACGACAAAACGGTTGCCGTTCAGATTAGGAGAGGTGAGTTTTCAGCCGTCCGATCCCATAATCATCACCATTTTTATTAATTTTATTTTGGGGTCGATCTCTTAACCTGAGCACCTCATGAATGCACCCCATGAGTTACCTTTTTGTCCCTGTTTCATATTATTGTTTTTACTAAAATACCCTCAACCGCTGTCCCCATCTCCAGATTAGTCCTTTTCGTCTCTAATCCCCACGAAAACGTAAGCATTAAATTGAACAGGTCAGCCCTACAGAATACATATATCCCCAGAATGATTTTTTTAACCTTTTTCTTCGGGGATCAAATCTTGTTTACCATCCACAATCTAATACAGTCTTAATCTTATTATATGCTTTTAGTATATCTAATAGCTCCACTTAATAACAATTATCATTATATAATAATGTTTAGATTATTTGATGCATTCTTTTAATAATAAAAGCTTCTCGCCAAACAGAATTATTGAATGCGTTTTGGGTGAAAATTTTAAAAATCAAATGTCCAATGTGTAAAATGATGCAGTGTGTATGTATCAGACTTCTAAAAAATAATTTATAGATTTCTAATTAAGGACCGAGAATAAAAGATGCTGGGCGTGGAGGGGGCATTTGAGTAATTCAACACATGAAGACTCGCTCGAAGTACGGCCTTGCGCAAGTTCTCCACGTGCGGTGCCGAAGGATCTAAAACCAATCAACCGCTGCTGCCGTACTCCGTTTGGTCAAAATACAACTTTAAATCTCCCTGAATCTGAAATAACCCATGATTGAACTCTATATACACACACGTATAAAGTCTAAGATTTTGATTTATATTCTACGCGTAAGTGTGTCTTAATGGTCTCAAAAAGCAAATGGAATTATATATATATATATATGTATATGTATATGGATGCAGATGACATCTTTTTTTTCCTAAGGGTTCGATCTCTTCAGCTTTTGTTTTTTTTTTTTTGGTCAAATTATATTTTCGATCACTTTACTAAAATAATCGGATATTTCAAGTCTTGGCTGCACAAATACCCACTAAATAAATAAATATAACTATATATATATATATATTTCGTGGCGGGCTCGTCCTTTGCTTCGTTAGGTTGATCGTTTGTAACCCCGAGACTAAAAATTAATCAAAACTTGCAAGCGTCGTAAACGTAAAATCGAAGAGAGAAAGAGAGACACACACACATATATATATATATATATATATTATATATATATCATATATATGTATACAGTGGCGGATGCACGTTAAGGGCAATGGGGGCAAAGGCCCCCATTAGTTTAATTAAAAACTGTATTTTTCTTTGTAAATTTTTACAAATTTGCAAATAAAATTAGAAATGCCCCCATTTATAATAGAAAAAATTATGTTTGCCCCCTGTTCAATAATTTTCTAAATCCGCCACTGTATGTATATATAGGTGGAAAAAATATGTCCTTGTGAATATACATGTCTTTGGAGGAAAGACTGTAACAAACCGGAGTGGATGCGGGAAGGGCGTCTGTTTGTATGTATGAATATCGCTTAAACCCTCTTTTTCCCCCCAATTGTTTTTTTTGGTCAAAAGATCCGTATTCTATTACTTTAAATTGCTACAAAATTACCCAAAATTTTACAAAATATGAACTGAATAACCACCATAACCAACAAAACCGTTGAAAATCGTAGATGTAGTACAAGAAAGAAAAAGAGATCAGCTTCATATAAAGTTTCCTGCATGATTTTTTCATAAGGTAAAATAATAATTATAACAATAATATACGATGAATAGTATCATTAACGTGAAATTTTCGATATAAAAGATTCCAATAAATAGCTCTTGCGACTATATATTAAAAAAAAACATATGGTACATATACAGTGCTCAATTCAGCGAGATATATAGTTAAAATATGATATTATTATCTTTTTATGTATGTTGCTCTTGTGAGAACGACGACGAAGAGTAAATTACTCGTATTTAATTGTGATAAAAGGAAACAAAAAATTAGGTGTGTGCATATATTGACTTTGGCATTTTGTGGTGATAAAATATATATTGTCACATGCATGGGCGGTCACACATTGCCATATATAAATCATTAATTTCCACTGACTCCTCATCATACTGCATATTCTGATTGTCGCCCGACTTGTTATTATTAATTTATAACTCCCACATAATATACACACACACACACACACATATATATATATATATATCACAATGTTCAAATCCCTCCACATCTAATAACGTACGGTATCATTTACGCCGAATTTAAATTTTTTGTGCATATGTACGGCGATACATAGGAATACGTTATAAAAAATATACGAACATGTATGTATATTATGCATGCAATACTACAAGATAAAAAAAAAAGTTATAAATCTGGGTTTTACAGGGGCAGAAATGGTTCGTTCACTGAAGAGTATTTTTTTTTCTTCGCACCCAAATCTACTAACATAATAAATTTAACACGAGCAAAACGAGAAACAAACAATAATATAAACTAATAATGAGCATATACACACGTACACGTAAATATTAAATAAAATATCATTGGTTGGTATGAAAAAAATACATTAATACAATTTTTGATAGGACATATGTGGGCATTTGTCTTTTGGCGAAGCAGGGGCTACCGTGCGAGCCGACTGGTCGTTGGAAAAATCAGAACAAGACAATGTAACATACATATATATATATATATAATAATAATAATAATAACTACTACCACTTCAAACACGTATATATATATATGCCAATTAATGCACGATACATGCATTATAAATATTGACGACAATATATAGCATAAGATTCACAGAATATTTTTAAGACCATAAAAGTAGAATATAAAGAACAGATATCCAACAATACTTGTATCTAGGGGTGTCAAACGAGCCAGCTCGGATCATTTTGGGCTCGGCTCATTTGACTCGGATCGTTTTGGGCTCAGAGAGTGACGTTTTAACAAAAAAAAGAGTGATGTTAGAACGCGCAAAAAAAAAATGAAGGCTTCTTGTTATTCACATGGGCCATTTAGAAAGCCCAAATGAGATTCTCTTTGATCCAAGCCCAAAACACTTAAGCCCCGTCTGAGAATCTGATTTTCAGTGTATATTATTGAATCATATCGGTGATAAAAGCTAATACGTAATCACACCAATAGCATGAAATAAATGAAGCACTCCTAACGATATTGTGATCTTCATTAGTGTTAATATAATCATATAATATATGGTTTAAGTATTAAAACTAGAATCATTAGTCAACACTTTGGAATGGGCCGTGGAGAAAGTGTGATGGAGACGGGGGGCAACGACTTGGCCCATGAATGTGGGACCTGTCTGCCACGTGTCACGTTCATGCCCCGAAGACTGGGCCACGAGTTCCTGGTTTGTTTGACCGTTGACTTATTACTCGGCTTCTCTGTGGAATCTCCAAAGGCATTCGCTCATTTTCCCGGTTGACCATAAAATCACACCAGAAAAATTTTGTACCAAGTGCTTGAACTTGAACCGTTGATTATTGTTATTTAATATATATAATTAATAAAACGTATATATATGTATATTATATGTACACGGAATATTTTACTAAATGATTATTATTTATACTTATAGTTTAACATTATTAAAAGGGCAATTGGAGAATCATTTATAAAGTAAACTAATTTGGTCAACGCCTCGTATTTCGTAGTTTATGTATTGTTTCAGACCGAATCCATTGGAGTCCATGGACAGAGTTTGCAATTTGGAGTTATATGTTTTGTTAGCTAATACAAATATTAAGCATCCTCAAAAATTGCTAATTAAACATTAAACATATTTAATTTACATTTTAAGGATAATTTGAGTAATGTTTGACCTTGATACATTTTTTTATTTCATTGTATCATATGAAAGAAAATTGTAATTGCATGAATTTTTTTTTTAAAATTTACAATATTGGTTATTTGTCGATTTTTTTTTTTTATCCGTAATATCTATAGAAAAAGGTGTGTGTCTTAACGGACGACACCCACCCGACAACGTTGTTATCTGCAGTCGAAATTAGCAAAAAAGAGAAAAAAAGAACTGAATTTTTTTAGATAAAAATAAATTAGTTAATAAATAAATCATCTGTCGGCATCGCGAAAGGGAGCGAGGAAGGAGAAGGAGGAGAGGCCGTTGTATCGTAAACCGCGTCACGAACACATAACACAACGGCCTCTTAGTTTCGCCTTCTCGATTAATTCCTTTTTTTTTTAAAATAACTTTTTTTCCTCAGGATTTTTTTTTTAAAAATTGTCCCCAATATTTGTTCTTGTTCGTCAATACTTTCTGGTTTTTTTTTCCATTTGTTTTTTCTGTTAAATCGGTTGGGTTCTTCGATGGATCACCATCACCTGCTCCTTCTCCTTCTCGGCCTTCGTCAATCGTCTTCTTCCCGGTAACGGAGAGAGAGAGAGAGAGAGAGAAGAAATTTGCGTGCGGAATCGGGTCGTGGTTTGGGCATACCATGATTTCTCGTTATGCGTTGGCTTCAGCACATATCGTTCTCTTCGTCTCCGTCTTCTTCGCCTTCGTCTTCGTCTTCGTCTTCGTCTCTGAAGACGGCGTCGTCATACTCTGAATTCACCGATCGCGATCGAGATCAGGGCCGTTTTCGTCGTCGCGGTTTCCGGTTTCACGGCCCGAAGCTCACGCGCCAAAAGAAGCTCCGGCACTTGACGGATCTCGATATCTGGAGAGGTAGGTTGTCTCCTTCCGCGGCTGAGCGTGGGTTGACTCGGTCACCCAGCGCCCACGCGACGATCCCTCGGTCGTCTTCCGCCGTGCCGTTGCCCTTGCCTTTGCCGTTGCCGGAGGGCGATGGAGATGGAAGGAAGCCGGCAGGGCGAAATTCAGGGAACGGCAAAGGAGTCGAGGAGAGATTCAGAGATGGCGATAGGGATAGGGATAGAGATAGAGCCGAAGCTGTTGTCGATCGTGTCTCCTGCAGCCCTCCTTTGATCAGGTAATTTCTCACATCTCCCCCTTAGATTTGATCCGAATTTGGCAACAAAAAGGCTTCAAATTTTGTTGATCTAAGAGGTCCTATCCTTTAGGGTAAACGGAATCGTTGGCAGCATTATCACCTTTCTCCTGTGATATCAAACAGAATTCCAATTCCATATTTGTAAAAATTTGCTGTCGAATTAAATAGCCATTGAACAAACACTCTATCATTCTCAGTTTTTGGCTGTGAAAGTTGTGTGGTTAAATCAAGTGTTCTGTTTTCTGCCACCATGATCCTTTCTCTCGTGATAATTGTTAGCTTAGCCCTACTTTATGTTTTCATCACCTTGAAATTAAGCATGTCGGGCTTCATCTCCTATCAGTGCCGATGCTTCTGTCCGTGACTGGAGGAGGACCACGGAGAATTCGAATGCAGCAGCTCATCCAGATTTGAGTAGCAGCCCCAGAAATGGGTATTGGGTGAACACTCCTACTATGAGTGCCCCTACGAGCCCATACTCGAGTCCTGCTCTGAGTCCACATAGGAGGAGTTATGGTGAGGTGTTACCAATGTTTAACATTGCTCCAAGAAGCAATCAGGTCTGGTCGGCTCCAGAGATGCCGCTCGATGTCTCGGGGCTTCCTCCTCCAGCATTTTACGACCCATTCAGTACTGACAACTCCCCAATCCATAGCCCGCACCGGCAGGCCAGAAGCCCTGGTGGGCCATCCTCCCCTTTGCATTCCACGCTGTCCCCTGAACATATAGCTACTCCACGGGATAGCGTTTCATCGCCATTACACCCGAGGCTTTCTTCTGTTGATGTCACAAACCCAAGGCGTGAGAATTCCAATGTTCATCCCCTGCCTCTCCCTCCTGGGGCTTCTGGGCCTTCTTCATCAGCTCCTGCTCCCACCTCACAGGTTCCTCTCAAGCAGGACTCCTGCCCGATGAGTTGTCAGTGGAAGAAAGGGAAGCTCATAGGGCGTGGAACGTTTGGAAGTGTTTATGTTGCCAGCAACAGGTACTTGTTAATTCTCTAGTTCTGTTTGACCTTTTAGCCAAGTTTGGAAGCGTGTAAGTTGCCAACTGTTCTTGTTTTATGCATGCTGAGTTATTTCATTCTTCCCCTGTCCAGAGAGACTGGTGCATTGTGTGCAATGAAAGAAGTTGAAATATTTCCTGATGACCCAAAGTCTGCAGAGTGTATAAAGCAATTGGAGCAGGTAATATACCTGCATCAGAATTTTCTTTTGCTTTGTAGTTCTTGCCTCTGTTTGGTTGTTCTTTTTTTCGTCACCTTGAAAATCTTGTCTTGGTTTCAGGAAATCAAACTGCTCAGTAACCTTCAGCATCCAAACATTGTGCAGTATTATGGTAGTGAAATAGTGAGTATATCTTCCATTAGTGAGCATATATCTCTATATATCCATCGAGGTCTTGCCCGAAACTCGATGAATTGACGATTTTTTTCTCCTTTTTGTGGATGTGCAGGTAGAGGATCGTTTCTTCATCTACCTGGAATATGTTCATCCGGGCTCAATTAACAAATATATCCGTGAGCACTGTGGTGCCATGACAGAATCTGTTGTTCGCAACTTTACGCGCCACATCTTGTCTGGGCTGGCGTACTTGCACAGCAAAAAGACAGTCCACAGGTAAAGTCGCAACTTATTGCAATCAAATCTTTGTGAGGTTTCTAATTGAACTACTAATGTTTCTTAGGGACATTAAGGGGGCTAATCTCCTTGTCGACGCCTCCGGGGTTGTCAAGCTTGCTGACTTTGGCATGGCTAAACATGTAAGTTCTAATTTCTTCTCCCCAAAGATTTTTCACACGTGTTCTGTATATAGATACACACACACAATAGTTAAAAAATGGTTTTTTTTTTAATTCAGCTTACCGGGCAAAGAGCTGATCTGTCTTTGAAGGGAAGCCCGTACTGGATGGCACCGGAGGTATTATTCTCTTCTACGAGAGCTATGAGACTCTTCTAAGTTCATGCCCTTTAATACTGACTGATATTCGTTTCTTTTTATCTCACAGATGATGCAAGCTGTAATGCAAAAAGATAATAGCTCGGATCTGGCGTTTGCTATAGACATATGGAGTCTAGGGTGTACAATTATAGAAATGTTCACTGGGAAGCCTCCGTGGAGTGAGTACGAAGGGGTAAGAAGCAATAAGCATTACGCTAACCGAACCACGTTCCTTTAATTAAGCTAAAAACTGAATGTTTGTCCAACCTTTTTATTGTGTCAGGCGGCAGCATTGTTCAAGGTGATGAAGGATAGCCCACCGGTTCCGGAAACACTGTCACAAGAAGGAAAAGATTTCCTAAGGTTATGTTTTCGGAGGAACCCGGCAGAGCGGCCAACGGCAGCTAAGTTGTTGGAACACTGCTTTCTAAAGAACTCTCAGCCGCCGACCTCACCTCCTCCTTCCACCGATGTCACGACTTTCTCCCAGCTATTCAACGGGATGAAACTGTCGGTAATTAGCTGCTGGGATCTTAACTGAAAAAGCCCGGAATTCATAATGCGGTGACAGACATTAACAATGCCTTTTGACACAGGAAGCTAACGGTGGGACTGGGAGGGAGAAGGCATCAGAATTCAAACTGGAACAGGCTCCGGCTTTCCCCAGCTTCAGAAACAAGAAAAAGGCGACAACCTCCTCAGAGATGTAAGTGCAAAAGTCTGTAATAATAATAGTCGTATATTCCCGATTTACATTGAGAAATAACTGGGGTTGTTTTCAGCTTCACGATGCGTTCTTCGTATTCACCAGTGGGAGTTGGCAACAACAACGGATTCCCCGTCTAACTTGGTTCATCGAAGAAGAAGAAGGTGTATTGTCATCTTCGGATTACGTGTAGGTCAAGAAATGAGTTAGAAGAAATCTTTACTCTCTGTTTTCTGGTTAACAATGTATGTTTTTACTTTTACGAGGGTGTGCATATGGATGTGGTCAGCTTTTCTATGTACATCCAAAATTTAATTGATTTCTTCAGTTAAACATCCTTGTTTCCTGTCATTCCGTAAGCCAAAGGAATTGCTTTCTTAGTCATCAAATTATTCGAATGAAACCGTCAAGATTCTTGCCCATTACAAAACTATTCCAATGATTCACTTGCGTTTGAATTTGATGCAGGCCTCAAGACGCTGCATACTTGTATCTAGGGGTGTCAAACGAGCCAGCTCGGATCATTTTGGGCTCGGCTCATTTGACTCGGATCGTTTTGGGCTCAGCTCGTTAGACTCGTTTTCTAACGAGTCAGAAAAACCTCGACTCAGATCGCTCGCCAATTTTCCGATCTGAACGAGCCGGCTCGTTGAACCAAGGATATATAATATTTTTTATTTATATTTATTTTAAATATAATTATAAATTTAAATAAATACATAAAAATTTATTAAAACACCTATATCATTTAATATTTTCAATTATCACCATCATAATAATTAGTATATTTATAATATCATATAAATAATATGAAAAAAATTAATATAAAATTATATTAGAGTTTTTTTATATAAATTTAATTTATTTTAAAAAAAAATACCAGCTCGTTGAGCAGCTCGCCGAGCCAGACTCATTGAACACGTGTTCAATGAGCTCTGGCTCGTTAGACTCGTTTTTTAACGACCTGAAAAAATTACGGCTCAGATCGCTCGTTTTCTGGCGAGTTACGAGCCAACTCACGAGGCGGGCTCGTTTTGACACCCCTACTTGTATCCAGCACGGAAAACTCTTTCCTAATAATAATAATAAAGAAATAAATAAATAAATAAAGCACGTTATAGAGTTCACGTGAACCTCCCAAACCTAATCAAAGAAGACATCCGATACCATATCATATTCAAATCCCTTTGCCATCCACTTTATTTGTTGAAGCAGAAGAGAGAGAGAGAGAGAGAGAGAGCGAGAGAGAGAGAGAGAGAGAGAGAGAGAGAGAGAGAGAGGGAGAGATGGATCCACCGGAATCACAATCCATAGATGTTTATAGCAAAAGCAACAAAACCGAAGATGCTCAGGACAGAGCCGTAGACGAGTGGTAGTTCTTTAATTCCCCTCTTCTTCTTCTTTTTCCCGTAAAAGGATGCTGAATATGTTATTGGGTTTGTGCAGTTGTTCCTGTTGCTATCTGTGCATGGAGACTTGCTTCGATTACTTGTTCTGCAACCTCTGCTGATTTCTCCCTTCTCTTCCCAATTCTTTGTAATAATAACTCTCTCTCTCTCTCTCCTGAAGTTTATTGTTTCAGCCGCCATAGCTCTGAACGATGAACATTTACTTTGTGTATGAATTACATATTTACATGTTCTGGACTTTCTTCTTAATCTCTTGAAACTGAAGGCAACCCTTTTCTCCTAATCCATTCTAATCATATTTAATTAAATTTTAATTAGATCCTACATCGATCCAATTATCATTTTATCTCTCTGCTCCTTTTGTGTGTTGTTTGTGTCCAAAAGGCACGTGCCAATATACACACACACACACGTTTGGATGTATAGGCGAGACCCCGAAAGCCTCCCACCAGCCGCCATTCGTCACTTCTTCAGTGGCCTTTCTCAGATTCCCACCCCATCGTCCACTTCCCATAATAGCATTTATGAATTGTAACCCCAAAAAATATTACTCCTTCCATTTCTCAATATTTGATCGTTTTATATAATTTTTTTTTGTATTTCTAAATAATTGTCATCTTAGATTTTCTAGAAAAAATTTTAAAATAATTTTCAATTTTATCCTTAATAAAAACTAACAAATTCCAATAGATTATTAATGATAACATCAATCTTTATGTTATTAAAAGATATATATAATTTTTTATTGTTTTTTTTAATATGAAAAAATTAAAACGTCAAATATTGTAAATATTGTGAAACGGAGGGAATATTAAAAAAATGTAGAATATACTAAAATAAATGAAGTTGATCGAATAGATTGAACAAAAAAATTTAAATGAATTGACAAGAATTAAATTTAACTAGATTGAACCTGTTTTATTTCTTTAAAAAAATATGGGATTTTTTTTCCATTCTACTGTTTTTTTTAATTATTTTCTTCTGCGATATGCCTAAAAGAAATTCATTCACATCACGGCCTTATTTTTTCTCCCCAACTAAATATCTGAATTCTAATTCCAATTTTTTTTCATATTTAATCATTATATACCCTATAAAATACTGATAAGAAAATTACAATGTTATCACTCTATATCAGTCGAAAATTTCATATGCCAAAGGTTGACGACAATTCGATATTTTGCCCAAAAGCTAAATGGAGGTTTAATAATTTAATTAATGGCAAAAAAAAAATCTGGGATTTAATTTGCCATATTTGGGTGAGAAGGTGGAAGAAGAATAAGTCAACAGTTTTGAGTGGAATTCAGAGTCTCCACTAGAAGACCGGTCATCATCCCACTGCTTCGGTTCTGTCATTAAAATAAAATAAAATAAAATAAAATACCGTAATCTTTAACAACGGTTCAGTGAATCTAATTTTCAAATTGAGAGTTGCCCACGAGAATTATATAATGAATTAAAATATATAATCGTTTACATTTTGAATCTAGCATGCTAGCACTGTTGGAATATGACACACACACGCATTAGGCGACAATTCTAATCTTACAAAATTATCTGCACCTTTGTCCAGTTGTCTTAATTATCGGTTGCAATTTGATCATACATAATAAAAGAACAATACTCTGTAATCTTTTAGTTTTAATTCGAGTTTCTACAATTTTATTTATCAATTTCATTTAATCAATGATTAAACTTTGACGATTCTAATGTATGATTTCTAAAAAATATAATTTGGAGCAAAGGTGTCGATTGTAAGTATGATAATTCGAAAACTAATTAAAATACATCATGATTATGTATGTGTACTTTTGATATGACTAATTGTACATTAATAGTGTGTGTGTGTATATATATATATGAAGGATTTAACAAAACCGAGGTGTATTGATTTGAAAATAGTCGCATTTATAATTAATGGGATTAGGCCAAACTCACTTTGCATGCATAATGGCATTTCCATAATAAAGCTACAAAATTATTATATGAAAACAAAAAAGACAAAAAAACAAAAATAAAATAAATCATTCATAAAAAAAAATTATTTAGGGGACTATAAATACACACAACTGCTGGATGCAAAGTACTAACAATTAGCACAAACGAAGCAATAAAACCCTCAAATACTGTATCAAAGCATATAGATTTTTATAAATATATATACATATTTACAATGGAACCTATCGTCTTCTTCCAACGCCTTGTTTGTACCGTTTTGTTGGTTACCGCACCAATGGTGATGGTGACGTGTCAACTGGATTACATGTATTACGTCAGAAGCTGTCCAAACCTAGCCAGAATCGTCCGATACGGTGTCGCTTCGGCTCTTAGCAACGACACCCGCATGGCTGCTTCTCTCCTTCGTCTTCACTTCCATGATTGCATCGTCAACGTACCCTTTTCTTCTTCTCTTTCTTTTTTTTTTCCCGCCTCAATCAAATATCAAAGCGTTAATTACTTGTCGCTAGATGTTATTTTTGTTACACAAAATATCATATAATCATTTGCCATAGTATAATTAGGGTTAATCCATATCATAATCTAAATATGTTACTTATGATGTATATCGTAAACCCGTCTCTACGATAAGAGGATAACATGTTTTTACATAATCTATTTTCATATAAAAACGATTAATGTATTTAAAATGAAAGAAATCTGTGATGATTAGACGAAACTTTTTCCACTGATCAGACGTCTAACCGACTGTAAAAACTGATGAATTTATGAACGATGAACGATAATATTCTTATCGGTGGCTCAATGGAACAGGGCTGCGATGGATCTCTGTTGCTAGACGACAACGATGGCATCAAGAGCGAGAAAAATGCACTTCCGAACCAAAACTCGGCAAGAGGTTTCGAAGTGATAGACTCCATTAAAGCAAACTTGGAGAAAGCTTGTCCTTCCACTGTTTCTTGCTCCGACATTCTCGCCTTGGCCTCTAGAGACGCTGTCTATCTCGTAAGCCCAACATATACATACATACATATACACAAGACTAAACATGCGAGACAAAGAGAATGATTGATATTGATACACAAATTAATATAAGGCATCTTCCCAAACTAATAATAACAAGTCTAAGAGCTGCCCACATGATATATATGTATATGTATATGGTGTATAGAATTAAAGATTCTTATATCGATGATGATGATGATGATGTATATGGAGGCGGGTGGTCCATTTGTTCCGATGCCATTGGGAAGAAGAGATGGAAGAAGTGCGAGTATAGATGGAGCCAATCGGCAAATCCCTTCACCCTTCGAGCCTCTTGACAATCTCACCGCTAAATTCACTTCTAAAGGCCTCTCCCTCAAAGACGTCGTCGTTCTCTCTGGTATCCCTACGTATTAAAACCCTATATATATACACACACACATATACACACCACCGTGATGAAAGCTAACGTATATAAACATGCAGGGGCCCACACAATCGGGTTCGCCCAATGCTTCCTGTTCAAGTCGAGGCTCTTCAACTTCGGAGGATCGGGTAAACCCGACCCGACGCTATCCGAGTCGTTCCTACAGAGCCTGCAGACGCAGTGCCCAAACCAGGACTCGTCCGACACGAACCTCGCGCCTCTCGACGGCGTGACCACGACCAGGTTCGACAACGTGTATTATCGGAACCTGCTCAACGGCTCCGGCTTGCTCGGCTCCGACCAAGCCCTCATGACCGACAACACGACGTCGTCTTTGGTCCTTTATTACAGCCAGTACCCTTACGCGTTTTACCGAGATTTCGGCGTCTCTCTCGTGAAAATGGCGAATATCGGTGTCTTGACCGGAAGCGATGGAGAGATTAGGAAGAGCTGTAGGCTGTTGAATTAGCCTTTTGTCGCATTATGAGAAGATTCTCAATGCTAGCTTCGCTCAATAATAAATATCATCATATCTATGATCTATGTATTATAATTAGTAAAATTCCAAGACGAACCAATTATCCCATGCCCATCTGTCAAATAAAATTAAAACGTTAAATGTACAGTTTCGCTGATTTTAAGTTATTAACTTATGAGGAAAAAATAATGAACTTAGAATTTAAATTACAACAATTCAGAATTTCGATAAAAAAAAACTTTTGTTTTTTGAAATATGAATGAGAAAATAGGTCTATTGTTGTGAATATAAAATTTGGGGTTTACTTAATTTTATTATTTTTAATTAGAAAAAACCCCATATATTACAGTGATTAAAAAAACTCTAAATAAACACGAGTTATTTTTTCCATATGAAACATCAATTATTAAAAATTTCAATTCAAATATATAAATTTTCAAAATATTAATAAATTTCTACCTGGATAATAACACTATCAAACAACCAGTTAGAATAAAACTAATAGGTATAAATGATGATTGATTTTTTAAAAACTATATATATTTCAAAGTGATTCAAATAATGGATGTATTTATTGGATTTTTTACATTTTAAACAAAAAACGCGATTTCTAAAATTTAGTTTAGGCCCATATGTTTTATTGACCCAACACGTGCGTAGTTCTGATTCGTCAATCGGTTGGGCCCATTTATTAAAGGGCTGAAAACCACTCGTCTGTTCTGTCGTTATTAGTGGGGAGACTCCGTCACGTCGTCGCCCGACCCTTGCCGCTGTGTCTCCCATGGCGGATTCGGACTCCAAGTATGCGTTTTTCGCGCTTCTCATTTGCTATCTCTTTAGCTAAGTTTTTTTTTCATGTATCATTTGCGAAGAATTTTAGCACTTGGCATGCCTTTTACCCCAATAGATAACAATGAATTTCAGTTCTATTCTTTTTCAGCATTTTTTTTTCAATCGATTCCTGTTATTTCACCAGATCGTGTTTTTTTTTTTTTTGTAAATTGAATCTGGGTGTGGTTTCCGGATTTCCCAGCTCCGTAGATCGAGATTATGCTGAGATAGTCGTGGTTCGTCACGGAGAAACATCCTGGAATGCGGAGCGAAGAATCCAGGTGATTACTTTCGTCCATGATAGGTTTGCTTCTTGTTTGGGTGATCATGACTAGCCATAGGTTCGGAAGATGATCCAACTCTCGCGGAATCCTCTGGATCATTAATATTGAGTTTCTTTTCTTTCTTTTTTTGATAAACGATTAATATTGAGTTTCTTGGCCTTGTGCCGGTTGAAGAGATGATTTATACACGCGAGGACTGGATGATGATGCATGGTCACATCTGTAGAATTAGTTAAGGTTTTTCCTCGAACACCAAGTAGAAAGTCATCGCATGTTGTCATACTGTTATATTACTTGATGATGGAACATGGGCTTGTGCCAGATACTTGTTGTGTCATAAGAAAATCTGGCTTGTGAAAGATACGCCTGTTAGCAATTGCTGGTTTTGGATATGATCGTGAGATATGGTAATTCATTTTCTCGCAGGGTCATTTGGATGTTGAGTTGAATGATGCCGGGAGACAACAAGCGGCTAGAGTATGCCTCTTCTTGTGATCGTCCTCCTTTTCCTTCTGCGTTAAACATATCCTTGAACTTTTCCTTCTTTTGGCAAAGGTAGCCGAGCGATTATCCAAAGAGCCCAAGATATCATTCGTGTATTCCTCTGACCTGAAGAGAGCCCTTGTAACAGCAGAGATAATTGCAGCTAGGTGCGGCGGGCTTGAGGTGACAGAAATTTCGTGGTTACTAATTGTCCATTTCTTGCTCAGCAGTTACTTGAAGTGTGTTTGAAACGGCCTTGTTGTTAACTTGTTACCTTGCTGGATTTGGAGGATCATTTTCTTGTTCTTCCTTTTATGATTTTTCCCCTGAAGTTTCCACCTTTGTGCATTTTCGTCTTGTGGATTCACGGGTTTCTGTATTGCATATTAGCAGGTTAATAGTTATAATAGTAAGCTGACATTTTGAGGAGAACTCTTTCTTGAAGTGATTATTTCCCATTATTATATGTGAGCTTTGGTCCAGAGAAGTTCATCCATTAATGTGATGCAGGTTGTGACTGATCCCGATTTACGGGAGAGGCATTTGGGAGATATGCAAGGGGTTGTCTATCAAGATGTTCCCAGAATGTTCCCAGAGGCTCACAAGGCCTTTCTATCTCATCGCACAGATGTTGAAATTCCAGTAACAAGCTCTCTGTCCCCTGTTACAAAAACTTTGATATTTGATTTTCTTTTTCTATTCAAGCCACTTATCATTCAAATAACCGCACCATATGCAGGGTGGCGGAGAAAGTCTTGACACACTTTATGATCGATGCACATCTGCATTACAGAGAATAGGCGACAAACATAAAGGTTGCTTGTTTCTCACGGATGATGCGTACCCATCATGTGTTTGATTGGAAGAATGTCCATTACTGCACATTTCACATATTCAAACCAAAAAGTACCTGCATTGCAACACATCTGATCTAAAACGTGATTTCCTTTGGAATGCAATGCAGGACAAAGGGTAGTAGTGGTGACTCATGGAGGTGTGATTAGAGCATTGTATGAAAGAGCTCGGCCTGATGGAAGGAACGCAGGGAAGGTAATGAACACATCAGTAAACGTGTTCCGCTTATACGAGGGAGAGAAATGGGCAATTCAAGTGTGGGGAGATGTTAGCCATCTGGACCAGACCGGGTTCCTACAGTCAGGCTTTGGTGGTGATAGAACCTCTGGCTAGTCCTACACCAAAAGTCTGCAAACTCTGGATTTTGCCGTTATTTCGCGGGCAAGGTGTGTTTTTTTTTCTCGTTCTTTTGTTCTCAAGGGCAAGGAATGCATCTATATAATACCATTTCTATTAATACAGTTGAGCAGAATGATAGTCGACATCGAAATTTGTATGAATAAGGTAATACATTGCGAGTTGTAGATAGATTACATGGAAAGATCTCAACTTGTCTACATGGGTTCTCTCTGGTCCGTTGTTTCAATATTGTTATAGGGATCATAAACACCAATATTGAATATATATCATATTGGTAAGTGTATGAGTATTGAGGTTTTGGAGAATGGCTAAGGAGGGAGGGACCAGTCTTTCGTCTTGGGACAATCTATTTTTGCAAAGATTCAGAGTGTTGGAATTGGCAACTCATTGAACTATTCTCCTCTCCCTCCCACTGTTCAGTTTAGTGTTTACATCGGGATCCCACTTGTCCCCTTTCCTCTCTTTCTTCTTGGTCATGGTCACTGGTCAGTGAGAGAAAAGGGCTTTTCTATTTACAGGATTGCCCCTCTGTCAGACCCACTGAAACTAAACCCTTTTATTTTTGGCGCCACTGCCTTACCAGCAAAAGAAGAACACAGAGAGAGAGAGAGAGAGAGAGAGAGAGAGAGAGAGAGAGAGGAAGGAAGGGAGAGGGAGAGGGAGAGGGACCCCATTGATGAGTGTGGCATTGTGCAAACTTCATGAGATTAGGGCGGAAATTGGGAAGGGGGGCAAAACACAACTAAAGCAAATGGTTATTTTCAGAGGATTCAATGATTGCTATCATTGCCAAGCCATATATGAGTCAATCATCCCCCACTTCCATCGTTTACTCTAATTCTATATTCCCATACGCCTACGAATGTATGTATGTATGTATGTATGTAATGTATATATCGGTACTCAGCATTAGTTTCTTCTTCTTTTAGTGGAGGTCGTCAAAAGTTTTTATTTAAATATGCATTGGAAACTGACAAAGAAACCACACACAAAAAAAAAGCGTGAAAGGAAAAGGGAAACGTGGAGGAAGAGAAGAATAAGGGCGGAGGGATATTATCATTGCTGTGTATCATGCGAGAATTATATCTTTTATATATAACATAATATAATATAAGATATTATAGGCACCCAATCTGCATGAATCATGGATTTCGAAGTTGACTTCGTATTCCTTATAGTGGATTCCTTTTCTTGTTTCTTTATTTGTTTATTCAAGTAAAAAAAAAAACAAGAAAAAGTTCCCCTTCATCAAACTCTTGATTCCAGCATCATCCATACCATAGCACTATTTAATTTAATTTTGTCTGTTTTCGTTTGAAAATTAATTATAAAATCAGAAGAATCAGGATGTAAAATGAGCCCGGCTCGCGGACTGGCTCAGGAGCCAGTCCATATTTTTCTTAGTCGGATTTAAGTATTTTGAACCCATAAAAAAACAGACCACACGAACCAGCCCGTCACGAGTGAGGTTCGTGGTGAGAAAGCCTGTCACGATCTGGATTGGTTCGCGGGCCAGAAAAAAATTTATTTTTAAATTTATTTTATATATTTTTACATATACAAATAATATTTTTATTACATATTTAGTTTATTTTGTTTAAAATTTTAATTTTTTAAATTATATTTTAGATATTTTTAAAATATTTTAAATATTAAAATTATTTTAAAATATTTTTTAATATTAAAATTTTATTTTTAAAATTTATATATTTGATTCGCGGACCGGCTCATTTGGCTCGTGAACTAAGATGATTTGGATTGGACTGACCTATTTTTGGCTCGCTAAAAATTGGGTGGACATGGCTGGACTAAAATTTTTCCAAATCGAGACGAACCGGGTTGGGTTGAGCCAGACCAGCCCGTTTTACACCTCTAAGAATCATGGTACGCTAGACTCATGGGTGTTATATTATTGAACAATTTGCATTACCCTTGGATTTTGGGTAATTTTCTTTGAGTTTCTATTTTTTTTAATAAGTACATGGATTTAGAAAGGTCTCGATAAAGTTACTGTATTGAACACAATAACAACGTACAACAATATTCAAATTACTAATGAATATCGGGGACTTATAATTGCCCAACAATAATCACATATACAATAAGGAGGGGTAATGAATATGTTTACCACTAAGTCTGTACACACACACACACACATACATATAATTAACATGTTTTCAGTGGAAGAAATGAATGATAGCTCAAATTCGAAATGGATTCCGATTAAGCCTGCCGGAGGCAACAAGCAAGTTTTCATGATGAGCAATCTCATGCATCCTATGTTTGGACAAAACTCAAATATCACACGTGCACTCGACCAAATCATTTTTTTTTTGTTCCCTTCATTGATAACGTTATAATATGATGTAATATCAAATATTTTGAATCGAAGTTTCCGCCCAAGTGTAGGGGTGTGAGACATATATATGTATAGAGAGCTTAATACGCATATTAAGAGTATTCAAATTCGACGTTTCGAATCACATATTTACTGAAAATGACGGGAACGTGGCGGTCGATGTCACCTTAATTATTTTTTATCGTAATATATATTCAACGGGCGACAAACAATTATCAATCCATGCAAATTTTATTTGTTTTAAAAATGTCCATGCATGTGGAGTAGTTTGACTTTTTTTCTACGTTAAATCTAATACCGTTGACCACGACGATTGGAAGTAGCTAGCAATTTGGTCGGACGTCGGTATTACGTGTCGTCAAAATTATAAATCTGTAACAATCGTCGAGTCATATATACACATTACATTACATATACAGCGTCACGTATTGCATATACATTATATAACTATACAACCGACTTTGGTTAGGGTGCATATAAAGTGACGCGGTTTGATAATTCACTGCGTTGGATTTGTAATGATTAACATTAACGCTCTAAGGCTACAGATTTTAATGCCACCTGTTCCCTTCATGTGAATCGTGCCGCTCCTCCATCCCAACTCTTTACAAAATTTACATTAATATATATATATATATATCACAGAAAAATTATTTCGATGGTGTAAATGACAATAATAGCCTCGAGGAGAGAGAGAGAAGGCATCGAGGGAGGGAGGAGGATCCCACCCGTATCCAAATGTAAATGGCGTTAATTAAGGAAATCACCTCCCTCTTAAAATTTTAATTTTGTTGTTATTAAATAATAATATGTACAAAAAATACTCAAAACTGGACCACCCCCTATAATGGGCCCCACACGACACCCTTCCCTCCTTATCTTTTATTATTAGCACATCTCGTTTTCGTACATTTTCGTTATACGCATATTCATATTTATTCCTTCTCCGTCTTATTTATTTATTTTATTCTATGTCCACTTTGAGATTGGTGATATGTTTATATATAATTTGATTATAGTTACAGAATCATTTATGGATAATAATGTCATGATGCAGTTGTAATACCATGTACATGTTTCTTGGGTTTGGTAGAATTAACTCGGAGTCGCTATTCAATCGGGCGAGAATTAATGAAGTTTGTTAGGATTCATTTTCCTGATAATGTACTTGTTCTTTTTTGTGGTGGGTTATCAGACATGATATGGTTTGAATTTATTGGCATTAAATAAAATAAATAATATGGTCCGATTGGTTTGTGAAAACGGGCATAAGTCAATATTCATATACACGAAAATTTATACATGTAAATTAAAATTCGTATTTCCATAAGAAAAGGAGAGTAAGCACCCTCTTGGTGTCGTCCAATGTAATTTTTTATATTTTATATTCTATATTTTGTTATTTTTTAAAAGCTAACGCATCGTCGTTTCTCTTTTAACGCCTTCTCTTCTCTCGGATCTCCGTCTCTCCGCTTTGGAATTCACCAGCGACAAAGGGGACACAGAAAAAAAAAAAACTTCGGTTCCCAACAAAAAATATTTTCTCGGGCCGAAAAAGAATTCTGTATCTCTTTTGAGAGGTTTTGAAATTCAAAATCTTTTTTTGATATGTGGGTTGTTCTCGTTCCTCCCTTTACTGTTCGATGCGAAATGCCCTTGAGATTTTGATGCGTTTGTTTGGGATGCGAGGAATTCTTGATGGGTCTCTGTACTTCGAAATCCTACCCTAGCCCCAATTCTCTGAATTCCGACCGCAATCCGGCTAGAAACAGTCCCGTCCCTGCATCGGACAGCGTCAAGACTCCTCCTTCCAGCTCCCTCCATGGCGAAAACCCTAGCGCCGACGATCAGTGTGTAGAGAATAGTGGAGGTCACAATGAGGGGAAGAAATCGCCCTTCTTCCCCTTCTACAGCCCCAGTCCCGCTCACTACTTCTTCTCCAAGAAGACTCCGGCGAGATCTCCGGCGACGACCGCCAGCGGGAACTCCACGCCGAAGCGGTTCTTCAAGCGGCCCTTCCCGCCTCCGTCTCCGGCTAAGCACATCCGTGCGGTGCTCGCGCGGCGGCACGGCTCCGTCAAGCCAAACGGTGCGGCGATCCCGGAGGGGAGTGAGGCCGACGGCGGCGGCGTGGGACTTGACAAGAGCTTTGGATTCTCGAGAAATTTCTCGAGCAAGTACGAGCTCGGCGACGAGGTGGGTCGAGGCCATTTTGGTTACACTTGTGCTGCCAAGTTTAAGAAGGGTGACAACAAGGGTCAACAGGTCGCTGTGAAGGTTATTCCCAAAGCCAAGGTGAGATTTTTTTTTTTTTTTTTTGTCTGGATTCGGACATATGGTAGTGAGACGAAGGGTTATGCAGTTTAGCTAACAGTGATGATAGTTCTGTCGTGGCAGCGATTTGATCTGTTGATGTTAAGCCATATTTTCACTCAAATAAGCTAGATGAAAGTTGATCTTAGTTCAGGTCTGGCAGAAATGTAGACGATAGCAGCTACACTGCCTTTTGAACTCTGTGTAAAGCTTTGCAGTTCCAGTTTGGTGATTTTGTGGTCGTTATCGATCTTGAAATTACGTTATATCTGGCCCTTGGTTCTCTGAATTGTTCGAGGTTGCCTTGATTTTTCTGCTTATTTCAGGGCGTGGGCATTTTGCGATTCACATATTTTCTCGGCATTTCTGACTGCTCTTCCATTTTCTTTTTGTTTAGATGACAACGGCCATTGCCATTGAAGATGTCAGGAGGGAAGTGAAGATTTTGAGAGCCTTGTCTGGCCATAACAACCTACCCCATTTCTACGATGCTTACGAAGATCATGATAACGTCTATATCGTGATGGAGTAAGTTCTCTCTGTACTAAAATTTTGACAATACCTGTCTGCGTTACTGTTTGAATTGAAAACCTGCTCGAATTGGTTTGATATGCTCATTTTCCTCTCCGCCTCGTAGGCTATGCGAAGGAGGAGAACTTTTGGATAGAATACTTTCAAGGTAAGGTTTTTTGGATGCACCTCCATTCAGTTTCTTCGAGAGGATTGATCGTTGACTTTAATGGTGATTTATGTGCAGAGGTGGGAAGTACACAGAGGAGGATGCAAAGGCTGTGGTGATACAAATATTGAACGTTGTTGCGTTTTGCCATCTACAGGGTGTAGTACACCGAGATCTCAAACCGGAGGTGATATATTTTCTTCTCCTCATATGCATTTAGCTCTCGTTTCCATCTCAAAAGCCATCTTAACCTTGCCATGGTGGTCTAAAAAGTGGCCCTCCTGCTTGTTCAGTTGTTCATATCGGGATGAGAAATATGTGATTTTCTTTTTGGGTATCAGAATTTCCTCTTTACGTCAAAGGAAGAGAACTCCCAATTGAAGGCCATAGATTTTGGTTTGTCAGACTACGTGAGGCCAGGTACGAGGGACTGCTTTATCTCGTCTTTATTACATCCAGAATCCAATTCCAGACCAACATGTTGTGTTATATATGTTTTGACATGCAATCTTGCAGATGAAAGGCTCAATGACATTGTTGGTAGTGCATACTATGTTGCACCTGAAGTTCTGCATAGATCTTACAGTACAGAAGCCGATATTTGGAGCGTTGGTGTGATTGTGTATATCCTGTTGTGTGGGAGCCGTCCATTTTGGGCCCGGACTGAGTCAGGTATCTTCCGTGCTGTTCTGAAAGCAGACCCAAGTTTTGATGAACCTCCATGGCCTTCATTGTCTTCAGAGGCTAGAGATTTTGTGAAGCGCATGCTAAACAAAGACCCCCGTAAAAGATTAACAGCTGCTCAAGCCTTGAGTAAGTGTTGTCTGAATCTGATGCCAGAAGAGATTCTTCGTCGGTTTTCTCTTTTTATCTGCTTATGCTCGTTATCGTTTTCCATCATTCAGGTCATCCATGGATTAAGAACTCAAATGACGTGAAGGTGCCGTTGGATGTTTTAGTCTTCAAACTTATGAGGGTTTATTTGCGATCATCCTCTCTACGGAAAGCTGCGTTAAGGGTGGGTATGCACTCTGGGAATCAATTTCAGTATTCATACTCCATAGACACCATGGGAGTGTGACCAAACAAACAAGTATGACATCAACATTTGGTTTCATTATGCAGAGAATACTTACCATATACCTTCTTTTTTCTTGCAGGCGTTGTCGAAAACTTTGACTGTAGATGAACTATATTATTTGAGGGAGCAGTTTGCATTACTAGAACCTAGCAAAAATGGAACTATAAGCCTAGACAGTATCAAAGCGGTAACGATCTTTCTTTCACCCTCACCTAAATTCACGTTTCGGTTGTGTTTTTCCGCATGCTGTGCTGCTAGTAACTCTGACCCCTCTCTCCCGTCAGGCACTCGTGAAAAATGCAACGGATGCAATGAAGGATTCACGGATTTCTGAATTCTTGGCACAAGTGTGTTTCTTTCAACTAGCACACTCTCTTTTTCGGCTGCTACCTGATCCAATCTAATTTTTCTAGTACTGACTTGGGAATTTTTGTTTTTCCATCTTGTTTATTAGCTTAGTGCCCTTCAATATAGAAGAATGGACTTTGAGGAATTCTGTGCAGCAGCATTGAGCATTCACCAGCTGGAGGCTCTTGAACGGTGGGAACAACACGCTCGTTGTGCTTATGAGCTTTTCGAGAAGGAAGGAAACCGGCCCATCATGATCGATGAGCTTGCTTCGGTAAGTGAAAACATTCTCACCCTTTGTGAAACAAAAACCTATCTTTTTTGTGGACGGAGGCACTGATCAGGGCGACACCACCACTGGTTTGCTTGACTACGGTGGTTTGCAGGAACTCGGACTCGGGCCATCAGTCCCGGTTCACGCTGTTCTCCATGACTGGATTAGGCATACCGACGGAAAGCTCAGTTTCTTGGGTTTTGTAAAACTGCTGCATGGTGTGTCTAGCCGCGTGGTTAAAGCTCATTAGAAGGTTCTAGAAAGAGCCAGAACGCGGTCTGGAATGTTCCTCCCGGTGATGCAAAAATTGTCTGGTTTTTATATTTCCTTCATTTTCAGGTGATAGCAGAAGCAAAGAAATGTGTGTGAGAGTAGTTGTAGATGGGGTTGTTCACGAGGACGATTGAGACGTACTTACAAATACGGTTTTTTTTCTTCTTTCTTTCAAGAATTGGTTTTGAAAAAGTCTTATATTTCACTCTGCATCCTTTTTGTTCTAATGGATTGATTCTTGGTCAAACCAAGTCAACGGAACCATGACCTTGCTCATTATGGTTCCATACGGACCAGAGTGAACATTGTCTTCTCTCACCTTTAAGTGGCTTTAAAGATTTGACAACACGGTGAGGGTTTCGGGTACATCTTTTTTTGGGGGGCCATTGGCATATTGATTTGTCTATAGAAGGGATGAGTTTTCATCAAAGCTTTGAGAGCGGGAAAGAAGGAACCTGCCGTGTTTGTTGGATCTTATTGGTTCGATCTTGTGTCCTGAATTCGAACACGAAGTCGCTGCCTGCTCCATGCAAGTTTCTTTTTTTTTTATTTTGGTACCAAAAATAGCCCTTCCCACCATGTGCCCCTCCTAACCCCTAATCCCACGAAAAGGTCCATCCTTTCACCGACAAGACCTTTCATCTTCCCGACAAATCATCATGGCCGGTAATAACCATTTTTTTTTATAATTAATCACATCCAAAACCAACCCTTTACTCTCGTGATTATGTACACTCGAAATACAAGAATATTTATACCAAAATATTATCGGCAAACCATACACGGACAGACATCAGTGACTGAGTATTTTGAAGAATCAAAGAGTAGCTAGGGTCTTAAAGCTGCAACTAGTAGAAGCTTGTGAAGGAGGATCGGAGATCGAGTTCTTGTGTCCAAGCAGACCGGTCTTGGACATGAAGGTACCAATATGTCTGAGCCACCCTGTCTGGGTCCATTCCCGTCACTCCCGAACTTTCCCCTTCTCCTTCTTCTTCGCTCTGCAACGTTTGCTGCTCCGTTACCATTCCTCTATATTCCATTGCCGATCCTCTGAAACAAATAAAATAAATAAATAAATAGATTATACAATGTATTATCGTGGGTCCCAGGTCTACATATTCTAGAGAACAGTAATTCTTCATTGATCACTAAGTATTTATGATTACAGATTCATCTAATATGTTGTATTTTATGGGTTAGACAGGTAGAGTTGACGAGAACAAAAACAATGAAAATTACGTGTGGAGGGATTCAATCATTACAAAATTAAAATTGCCAAACAAATAAGTAAATAGTAGAATAAAGTCGCGTGTTGTGGACTGTCTAAAATGTGATTGACGTTGTGGAATCTCGAATACACGCGATTTGGAAAATAAGCTTTTGAGGTAGAATCTTGCCGTTTGAATCGAGGAATCTTGCCACTCGTTTAAGCAATCAAAGATTCCTTTTTGCGGGAAAAAAAAAATATCTACCCCCGACCGAACGCAATGTGTATGTGGTTATAATAATTTCATATTTCGCATTACGTACGTGTTTGATTTTTGTATGCACAAAAAAAGGGTTAACAATGTAAGGGCGTACCTCGGTGGTCCGACCACACCGTGGATGATGACATGAGCGACGTGGATTCCAAAGGCTTGATATTCTCTCGTTAAGCATTGAGCAAGAGCTCTTAACGCAAATTTCCCACAGCCTGTTACATGCAGGAATATTTCGAACCCAAATGAACATAAACTATTATCATTATTATTATTGCATTACATATTATTATAAAAACACTAATCATCAAAACATTTGGATAAAATGGAAATACATAATTCGGAGAAACCGGCGACGCCGTATAAAGACGCCGAGCATCCCGTGAAGAGTATAGTCCCTTTTCCCCTTTCAATCATCCCCGGAATCACCTTTACACCAAGAAACATTCATTACATCAAAATAGTAAAACTACCGACTATAATCAATTGTTCGAGGCAAAAACTAACGTATTAATTCTAATAGAAGAGTGATTTTCAAAGATTTTAGTAAATAAAACAAATACTAAAACAAGGGCGTGAAAAAAAAAGAAGAAGAAAAAGTACCTGTTGGGCGCAGAGGAAGGCTCCGACGGCTGAGACAGCGAGAGATCTTTGGAAGGAACCGACAGGAATGTCGGTGAAGCTGGTCGGGCGGTAAGTGGAAGAAGCGGACTGATAAGCATTGTAAACGAGCACTTCTACAAACCCTAGCGACAGAACTCCTTCGAATGCCTCCCTTACGCTTCTTTGATCCGAACAATCTATTCTTATGGCGAAAACTTGAGCTTTCTCTTCACGAGCAATCTCCTCCGCCACCCTCGACAACCTCCCTACCAACCGATCATATATTCATTGATAAGCTAGTAGCAAGAATATACATATATCTGTCTGGAAACAGATCGAGTTTTTTTAGAGATTCTTGGATCAAAAGATCATAGAAGAAAACCCAAATCTTTTCATTTGGGTAAGGTGTATCGACAAGGAGTGCACCGTTACCGTTTGGTATCATCGATCGTATATATAAATTTAGGAAACGTATACCAAGTATCTAAAGCAATTGGTGCAATGTATTAATCTTCTGTTAACCTTGACACGTCATCTTTCCCCTCGGGACATGTCTGCCTATAAGTTGTAAAGAGACTTTAGTAGTCTAATTTATGTTAAGAACATAGAGGTAGTTTTTTTTTCTTTTATTACGTTTAGATCGAAACTTTGTGCGTGCGACTATGGTTTTCCAATGATCGTCCTGAAAACCAGAACGGTAAACGGATGAACAAACGTTGCGCGTTAGTATGGTGTGTATAGATGTATATATATAGAAAGAGGAAGGACAATTATGTATGTACCGAGATCGCGGGCGAGAATGGCGACGGTGTAGCCTTCGTGGGCAAATTTGCGGGCGACGGAGCGGCCGAGTTTTGGGCCGACACCGACCACTGCGGCTATGCCCCTGCCGGAGCTCGAGCTCCCCACGTTTCTCATCTTCCTTTCCGTTGTATTTTCTCTTTCTTCTTCTCTTCTTCTTTTAATATTGTTGAAGGGATATATAAGGGAGATACAAATAAGAGAAATTTTTAAGAATTATATATAATAATGAAGAATGAAATGTTATTTTCTCAATGTTGACGTTGCTGCCCCCTTAACATTCGGCAATCTATCTTGTCCATATTTAACCCTTTCGTCCCTCATATGATTGTTTAGAGAGAGAGAGACGCTCTTGCGATGACAAGCAGTGTGGATTCTTGTGAGGGTCGAGAGAAATTATGGTGGATATACCGTCGTCTATCACTATCATCGTCATACCAAAACATTTACTTTTAAAAAAATATAGCATTTTCATTCTGCGCCAAGAGGGGGAATGTGATTACGATTCACGTATTGCATATCTGTGATCTTGTAGAGGTGGAGACCTCTCATATGTGCGTAAGAGTTTAAGTTCACTAGATTCGCACGAAGATGTTCCGATAATCAAGACAAAGAGGGCTTACGAGTTTAAGATGCATGAACGAAAGAAACAGCAAAAGAGTTGCGAAGAAGAGAACAATGGTTGAGCCCATTGGCTCTACACTTGGTGGGAACATATCCTCTCCCTCTCTCTCTCTCTCTCTCTCTTTCTCTC